TATCGGAGGATATAGATATATCTATGAGTAAATAAGAAGATGATTCATTTCCAAAATGAACTGGGGTTCCCTTCCTATTTGACATATCTGAATCAAATACTGAAAAACATTAAAAAAATTTAGCTTATTGGGGAACCTAGCAATTTCTTAAGCTAATATAAATTCAGGTTCAAGATTAACATAATAAATCAAATTGACTAATTACTCCTCATAAAAGGATTCAGTACTTAGAACTTTTAGGTCTTGAAAAAACTATAGGATAAAACTACATTGAAGTTTATACATTTCCTCAGGTATTATAAATGAAAGAAAAAAATTTATAAACTATTTAAACTCCTCTGGTTAGATAAAGAATCTTATCAAAGTACTTTAAATTTTCTCAATCAAATAAGATCGAGATTGAAAATAGCTCTATTTTTACAATGAAATTTATAAAATGCATCACAATAGAATTTATCTTTAAGTTTTTGTCTTACCTATTTACTACTTCATCAATACTTCTAGTTATTTCTCATTCAAATTTGCCTTTATCTAAAATCTAAATTGCTCTTATTTTGAAATCAATTATATTGCTAAATTTCAGATTGTTCTTTTCTTTATTTTCCAACTAATAAACATTTTAGAAGAAGTCATATTCTTTGCTTTTCAGAATTTTTCGGGCCATATATGTTCCTTGCTTTTTGTTTTGTTATTTCTGTTCAATTTATTGTGAGATTTCAAAATATATGAAATTAATTTACTATCTTTACCTATTTCAAAATTATTTGGTTTAAATCTCTATGAAACAATCCTAATTTTGAGTAACTCCGGGGCACTTTTGCCATCTAAGTATTTATATTTTACTTTCGATGATATATCTATGATATTCGATATTTTTATATTTAGCTTTTCTTTGAGTGCACAGAATTGTATTCTTACTTTTTGCTTATTTATAAGGCTATCATTTCAATAATAAGTTCAAATCATTTTCATTTCAACGCCTAAAGAATCAAGCTTCAAATTCAGAAATTTTATTTCATTTTACAACCACTCCTCTGCCATCCTCAATTGTTCCTTAAAATATTTACAAAATTCCCTTAATTATTATAATCATCATAATAAGCAGTCAAAGTAATTGTCTGAATTTCAAGAATAATTTCCTATTCTATTTCTCAAAAGGCAAATTAAAAATAAAAATAAATGGTAAAATTCTGACTTTTAGAGTAGGTTCAAAGGAAACTGTTTAAGAATTTAGGATTTTTTTTTCATTCTGTTTATTTTTTGAATAATTTAGTTTCCATTTAGAATTTCTTTCTGAACAAAATATTTTTATAAAATTCAATATAATTTATAAATAAATATTAAAGAAATAGAGGAAAAGTGGCAAAATCATAAAATACTGTTTTTCTTGAATCCTACTTCCCTAGTGCTTAGCAAGGTTAATACGTAAATCAAATGAAAAATGCTTATATAGTGCAAAATGAAACTTGAATTATGAAATTAAAAATATATTCAAAATGCAAACGGGATTATTCATATAAATAATTGGTTTTTTGCGAATTATGGTTTTTTACTTTTGAATATCTTTTTCCATTTTTCATAAACATCTTTTATGTTCACAATTATTTCTACAATAAGGCCTAAAGATAGAATGATAATATGGATCCATCCCAAAATGATTTTATTTTCTTAATTAAAATATTCCTCAAAATCTTAAAGGTATAAGAATGAACTAAACATAAAAGCAAATACTGATATCTCAACTACCATCTAAACAATATAATTATTTTTATTTTAATTCTTTTTATAATTAAATAATTATCTAATCTAAAATAAACTTGTTAAAAGGAGTAATCCTATTTAAAAAACTTGAGATCTTTAAATATTTATAAGGAAAAATAAAAAAAAAAATTATCTTCCAAAACTAAGCATTTAAAAAATTTCACATCTTTACGTCTTTTGTTATTATTCTTTGAATATCCCTAGAAATAAGGTAAAATAAAGAAGAAGAATTATGCTGGCCATAGTAAGTTGAACAATATCTAAGGAGTTATTAGTTTAAAAATTTCGCATATACAAGAGTGTTTTAAATATCATATCCCATCCATTTAGGAGTAATGCTTTTTATATTCCTTTAAAAGACATATTTTTTTTCAAATTAATTATACCTAGGCAAAATATATAAAGGGAGCCTTAAATCTTAACAATTACCTTAGGATTGATATATAAGGATAATTATGACGCGTAGTAAAAGTTTCTTGAACAAAAAATTCTCTTGTATATAACTTTTTTTATTAGTTGACACAATAAAATAAGGAATAAGAAAATTAAGCTTTGTAATATTTGGCTTGAAAGATTGATAATCAAACTTGGGTCCTATTTGTAAATGTCAAATTTTCCTTCTTAATATGGTTATTAATTTTACGAAAGTTCTATGAACTAAAATATTAATGAAAAATCTATAAAGTCTAATAAAGGTTCGATTGTTACCAAATCATAAACAGAAAAATATATCTCTAAATTTTCTGGAAATCGCAGATTTATGTATTTCAAATATTACTGAAATTATAAGATTGCTAAAATTTCGATAATTAAATCCCCACTTCCAAATAGTAGATTTCCACAGGCAAACCCTGACAAACCATAGATTATATAGACATTAAAATTTTTCAACTTATAAGAATAATCTCTCTAAGTTTCATCAAGATATTATGGATATTGCAAAGTTATTGATTTTGAAAATTCATCCATGATAACATCATCTATATTAGCAACAGTCTAATTCACTGAAATTGTTAAGATAGGTCTAAATTCAAGTAATTATAGCACGTTTATTTTGATAACATATTCTCCAAAACTAACATATGATCCCACATCCTAAATGATAGTTAAATTGCTAATCCAATTCTTCCTTTTTACATTTGATAAACTAAAGTTTATTCTTTCTGATAAAGGCGAAGTTGTGTATATTTTTACTTATTAATTAAGCTAGATGCTTATGTATTAGTTATTTTAAGTCATATTGAGATATGTAATTACTAATTTTGGAGGTTTGGAAAATGAACATTAGCTAGGAGAAGCTTTTATTATCGTGGCGCATACCCAACTATATTCAATCAAACAATTAGTACATCCATCTAAAGCCTCATAATTTCCATCATCGCATTCTTCTTGTTTCTAAAGATATCCATCTCCACAATCTAATTATAGTTTGCATTAATTTGAATTTAGTAATTAGTATTTATCATTGCACTCTAAACAAGTACCTTAATAGCAGTCATAGCAATTTTCAGGACAAGAATAAGAATACATACAATTGAAGCAACCATCAAATTGGATTGTATTGCCATCATCACAGTCCTCTTCTTTTGTGACTATTTGATCACCACAAACAGAAAGACAATTATTATTAACAAACTTGTATCCATCTTCACATTTTAAAATGCACTATCCTTTATCACATATGTTACAATCTTCGGAGCATTGAAACTTGCATTAGAAACAACCGTCATAAGGTTGCAAATTTCCATCATCGCATTCCTCATATTATTGGAGAATGAATTTATCTCCACAATTAGGAAAACATGCATTTTCTAACAGCTGAAATCCTACTTTACACTCCAAGCACATTGAAAGTAATTAATTTTTACAATCAGCAATTAATATATAAAGGCAATCCTAACAGTTATCCCATTTTCCATCATCTGTCAGATCGCATTATTCAGCCGAATAGGGAATTACATTGCCATCTCCACACATAGGAACACAATCAAAATCAGCATTAAGGTCATATCCAAAAATACATTCAAAACAAATTCCAAATTCACAAGTTTTGCAAAAGTTTATACATGAATATTCACATTAATAACACGAATCATTAGATATCAGATTAGCATCATCGCATTTTTCTTATCCTTGAATAACTCCATCACCGCAAATTGGACGACAATTTTCAAAAAACTAATCTTAAATCCAACCCTCTTTGCAAATCAGACATCTAGTTTCAATTTACTCTAAGCATCCTTCGTTGAATTTATTTATTATAATTTCTGAAACTTCAAAATTTCTTGTTTGATATAATTATCCTTTATCACCACAAATTGGATGACAATTTTCAAGAAACTAATCGTAAATCCAACCTTCTTAACAAATCAAGCATTTAGTATCAATTTATTCTAAACAACCTTCATTTAATTTATTTATTGGTATTGGTATTTCTGGTTAAGTGTAATATAATTCAAAATCTCTTATTTAACCACGGTCAGTGCTTGGTTGAGATTTAATATTCAATAACAGTATAGGATCAAGATGATTTTCTATTAATATTTCTACTAATTAACTATTGAAACTAAAAGTTTTTTTACCATATACATAGTCTACTATTATAATTGTATTTCCTTTATAAAACCTTATTAATAAATTTTAATGTGTAGGTAGTTGAGTTGAATAATTAGTTTCAAAAAAATACAAGTAGTTACAATAACCGCAATCGAAATCAGACGAAAAAGTTGGTTAAAATATCCATCCATCAGAATTTGTAATCAATTTTTCACCAAATGAATATTAATGCAGTTTCCATGATAAGCAAAATATTTTATAATTCTCTATGCACCCAATACAGTCATACTCACAATTAATCATGCTTATTTTTAATGACATTAAACCTCCAGCATTAAAGAAATAAGCTTTTATCCAAAGAGTTCTTCTATTGTGTTTAATAGGAGTTGTAGTTATACTCAATACGTATGAACCAGAGCAAACTGCACTTGATGATGAAGATGAAGTGATTGACTTTTGAGCTACAATATAGTCTAAATCTACACCAAAAGGATCACTGGTATATATTCTTTTGTAATAATAGAAATTCATTACCTTAATACTTTAGCCTCCACTTAAATATGAGAATGGGCTTTTAGATTTGAAAAAAGTCTGCTAATCCAAATTGGATTATCATCATTAAGAGGTTAGCCAAAATAATTAATCCCACCGCAATTATAAAAAAAACAATCATTATCTCTAATTGCCCATCCTAAATCTAAATTCTATAAAATTACCATCATTTATTTAGGAATTTGCATTAAACTCATAAATCACAGTTGATGGAGTTGAAAATATTTAAACAATAAGTATCATGAATAATTTCATACAATAAATAAAATGTTGAGAAAAAGTAGATAATTAATTGAAAGATTTATTATTTTAAGAAAAAATATCTCACCTTTTTATGGTCTAGTTGGGCAACGTTGAACAAGCAAAGCCTTATTTAACTTAATAAATATCTTAGATAATTTCAGTAATTTCTAGATGACTTTAACAATAATTTTCTTTATAATAATATAATATATAATTTGAGAGTAATTACTGTTACTTAGAGATTGATAATATCATCATAGTTTCTTTTCCTGCTATTATTAAATATGATCATAATTAAATATAGTTAGTTTAAAATTAATACACTAGTTTTTAATTCTCAGCTTATATTATCTTTTGGAACTAAATGGGCTGCTGGCACTTTTCAAATATTTTATGACTTAAAGAAGTAGAATCAAATTGTTAAATATTAAATAAATTCAGATTCAAAATTTTCTAAAATTTGTGAATGTTTAAGATAGACTTATTTGGATTTATTCTGCAATATCAGATATTATTCCTCATAAGCAATAGCAAAATATTAGTGATGTCATTTCTTTAACTAAAGAGAAAAACGTTTCAGTACTTTTAATTTTAGATGGTGTGCTAGCATCATGATCTTCACCAAATCCAAAAGTTAACTTCTTTTATTTGCTTAATTAAATGGTGATATTAAAATGAGCTTGTTGCTCTGGTTTATATATATACACTAATATTATTTATCAATAAATTTTCATCTAATTATTTTAAGTTTATAAATAATATCACCATCTTTTTATTTTTAATTCTATAAAATTTAATCATCATGTTATGACCATAGTAATTGAATTCATTGAAAATATACTATAATACAAAAAATAATTTCTCATAATATTCTCATTACTATTCTTTATAATAAAATATGCCTAAACTATAATCATAATTAATATTATTTGATTGGATAGTTACAAAACGTTTTTCTGATAGATTAATGCAAACATTAAACTTAGGTTTAAGGGATTTAAACTGTTCATTGTCTATTAGATTAAGATAATTTTGAATTAATAAATATTAAACTTGATTTGATAATATTAAGATTAACAGAAATATCTTCTGTTATCAATAATCAATTAGTAAGTTCTCTAATTAATGATAGAGCTTAGTCGTTTTTTCATCCAATACCAAGTTTAACTAGAAATATAGTTAATTAATACTTTTACTTTTTAGATGATTTATTTCTTCATAAATCTAAATAGCTTATTCGAATTGTTCCTGCAAATAATAACAGTGTCCCAGTTTAATCTTAGCTTCCATATCATTTTTATCTGAATCTAGGGCTTTTTAGAAATATTATATTTTAAAGCCATAGCTGGCTGATTCTTTTCATACCTATTATTACCAATAGCTTTCCATTTTAGACCAAATGATTAATTGTGCTTTGAAGATTAATTCATACATTCAATTCCTTTATCTAGTTCTCCTTTTTAAAAATAGCATTAACCCCTATAATAATAAGCTTTATAATTTGCTGGATCTACACTTGCAACTTATTCAAAGCTTTCAATTGCTGAGTTTAATTCGTATAATTAAGTTTAATAAATTATTCCTAATCTCATATTTGCAACTGTATTATTTGGACAGGCCCTTAATGCTTGTTTCAGATACTTTTTTTGCATTTTCGAAATTACCTTATATGCTTGAAATTGTCACATATTCAATTAGAGCCTCTGGGTGCTTATTATTTATTCTCAATTATGTTATAAAAGATTCAGCAGCACTTTTAAGTCTTTCTTCTTGAAATATAAGGTTTCTAAAAAATAATGTGAGTTTGAATCTGAATTCAGCTGTTCCTTTGCTAATTTCCATATTTTATAACTGTGACTAAGTCTCCTTTCTTTTCATATGCTCTAGCCAGCGCATTAGTGCATTCATAATTTAATGGATCTACTATCATTCCTTTATGTAAAATAATTATAGCCTCATCAATAGCTGTAGGATCTTCATCATAAATCATTAAAGCTTCTCCTAACTCTATAATGAATCCTTAATTATTTGACTAAGGTCATAGGATAATCGCAGAAGAAATAGGTTATGAATATGGGATTCAATAAGCCTTGAAATATATGATGAACATAGCAAATTGATTTGGGATAAATTGGGAAGGAATTAGGCTATGAAAGAGGGTATGCAATAGGAAGTGAGATCATAACAATTAAATAGAGGATGACATATGCGATGAAATGGGTAGTATATGAACTAGATTATGAATTAGGAGAAGAAATAGGCTATTAACAATTCAACCAAATGGGAAATATCATAGGCAATGATCTATGATCTAAACCATATCTTATGACAAATCTTAGAAAGAAAAATGAAAATAAATCAATATAAAAAATTATTACACTAATACCATTATTGAAAAAGGCAAGATTGTTTAAAGAAAAGGTAAGCTCGATAAACTCGTTTAATAAAGTAATATGAAAACGCTCCTATTCATACTTATGACAATAAGCAATTAATTGGTATCGTTATCTTCATTTTTAGAGCCTTCATTTTATTACTCATCCATTAAAATAAACATGATAACTTTTCGATCCTCGATCTATATATTAAGAGATTTACTCTTCGGGGAATGAAAGAATTAAGAATTTATGGTTTAGTTGACGTAAGTCTCAAATGTGGCTGCATTTGATATCATCTATAGTGAAGATTTATAGGCAACTTAGCAAGCCATCATAGAGCTCAAAGCTAGATCAGAACACTGATGTCAGGCATACTTATACAATACATGGTTTGGTCTTAAATTTATTGTATCTGAATATAGATTACATTCTTTTAGCATCAGTAAAATTACTAATGCCTCTGAACTTCAAGTTGCATGTTAGACTATGTTATTGAATCTAAGTTGATTAGAAAATAGACAAAGTTTAAAAAATTTTAATTCTGAATGGAAATCTTGACAAGAATGTAATTATTTTAAGTTATAATTAAAAAGTTCCATCAGTCTATGTAAATTTATATTTAGGAAGGCAACATGATCTTAACAGCAAATAGCTGTCCACCTATTGTCAAAATCCCTTACACGTTTTTTTTTCTGAAGGAAGATCAATGAATCTATCTCAAGGGTTAGCCTCTTCTTAATCATTTTAACATAACGTCCTTGAGTTCATAATCGAAAAATAACAGTTTTAATTTCAACTCATCCATAAATCACTTTTCAATAACAAAGATTTTGAATTCTGTCATCATAATTAAGAATACTTATATTTCATTTAATATGAAAACTGACAAAACTAAAATTTAAATATTCCATAAATAAACTGAGCTAAAATAATATCATTAATGTTATATTAATATCATTGATGAATTGGAACAATTGCACATTACTCTTGGATCTCAAGATCTGAATTACTTTATATCATTAGTATAGGATGAAGCGAAATTTACAGAGAAGTTGCATTTAAATTCAATTAGATTAGAGAATGATCAATTAATCTTAAAATTTATGCTTTAATCTCAATTAAATGGGCAAAATTAAGTTTCTGTATATAAAAGTAATTCTATAATAAATTAAATTTCATTGATTTAATTTGTTAAGATTAACAATGTATTTAATTAAAACTAATGCTTTTTTTGGGGATGCACATACATGAAATAAATCAAAATTAAAAAATAAATCTTAAGTTTAAACTTATGACAAAAATTCTGGATAACGAAGCCCTATAAATTTAAACAATTCAAGAATGAAGTGCTGAAGAGGCTTTAATGATTTACTTACATAACTAAGGGTCTGACCTAAACCTTAAGGCCTCTGACAGCGAGAATTAAAACTGAAATCTGAAGAAGACATTCGGACAATAAAAGAGCTGATAGAAAATCATTCCCAATAAAACAACCTAAGAATAAAAAAAATGATTCCTTCCATAAATCTAAAGAAGACTACTAAATCATCGTTGAGGTAATCACAATTACTATAAAACTATGAAAGATGTAGTTTAGATTTTACCTTAATCAGTCCAGCAAGCTCTTGAATCATATTTAATATGTACTTTAATAATTAATTAAAAATTAAAGGAGTGTCTCTAAACCCCATAATAGCTTAGGTGACAAATACAGATTTCAGAAATAGCTTAAATAAATTTTTGAAACAGTGATGTATCTAGCAATTGTATTCCGTCCAATTATAAATATGTTAATCAATAAACATTAAATACATATCTTATTTTTTATTTGACTAACATGTAATTTTTTATAAAGTTAGGATTGATTCTGTTTATAGATATCAGTTTAAACTTGAAATTTGTAATTCATCACATTATAGTTAGAATTTATTATAGTTATTGTTGACTAACCCTAATTTTAGTTGTTGGATAAGATAGGCTGTATTTTCTTTTTGATTAATGAAGCGCTTTTCCTTCATCCATATTCTCAATTCATAAATAAAGGGAATGATGGTCATAATAAGAAATTTACACATATAATAATTTAAATATTCATAATACCCAATCTAGAGATATATCAATTGAAGTGAAGAAAGTTCTAGATTTGTAATTTCAATACTCAAAATAGTTGTTATCCTAATAATTGGAAATGTGAGGTAGTAAGAATAATTTTCTAATTTCACACGTACTCTAGCTTAGAAAACTCTAAAGTCGATAAGAATGAACTTTCAAATTATTCATTCAAATTCCACATAAAAATAATTCATTCATTAAGGATNATCAATTAGATTAGAGAATGATCAATTAATCTTAAAATTTATGCTTTAATCTCAATTAAATGGGCAAAATTAAGTTTCTGTATATAAAAGTAATTCTATAATAAATTAAATTTCATTGATTTAATTTGTTAAGATTAAAAATGTTTTTAATTAAAACTAATGCTTTTTTGGGGATGCACATACATGAAATAAATCAAAATTAAAAAATAAATCTTAAGTTTAAACTTATGACAAAAATTCTGGATAACGAAGCCCTATAAATTTAAACAATTCAAGAATGAAGTGCTGAAGAGGCTTTAATGATTTACTTACATAACTAAGGGTCTGACCTAAACCTTAAGGCCTCTGACAGCGAGAATTAAAACTGAAATCTGAAGAAGACATTCGGACAATAAAAGAGCTGATAGAAAATCATTCCCAATAAAACAACCTAAGAATAAAAAAAATGATTCCTTCCATAAATCTAAAGAAGACTACTAAATCATCGTTGAGGTAATCACAATTACTATAAAACTATGAAAGATGTAGTTTAGATTTTACCTTAATCAGTCCAGCAAGCTCTTGAATCATATTTAATATGTACTTTAATAATTAATTAAAAATTAAAGGAGTGTCTCTAAACCCCATAATAGCTTAGGTGACAAATACAGATTTCAGAAATAGCTTAAATAAATTTTTGAAACAGTGATGTATCTAGCAATTGTATTCCGTCCAATTATAAATATGTTAATCAATAAACATTAAATACATATCTTATTTTTTATTTGACTAACATGTAATTTTTTATAAAGTTAGGATTGATTCTGTTTATAGATATCAGTTTAAACTTGAAATTTGTAATTCATCACATTATAGTTAGAATTTATTATAGTTATTGTTGACTAACCCTAATTTTAGTTGTTGGATAAGATAGGCTGTATTTTCTTTTTGATTAATGAAGCGCTTTTCCTTCATCCATATTCTCAATTCATAAATAAAGGGAATGATGGTCATAATAAGAAATTTACACATATAATAATTTAAATATTCATAATACCCAATCTAGAGATATATCAATTGAAGTGAAGAAAGTTCTAGATTTGTAATTTCAATACTCAAAATAGTTGTTATCCTAATAATTGGAAATGTGAGGTAGTAAGAATAATTTTCTAATTTCACACGTACTCTAGCTTAGAAAACTCTAAAGTCGATAAGAATGAACTTTCAAATTATTCATTCAAATTCCACATAAAAATAATTCATTCATTAAGGATGGTAACATATGATACTATAAGCTAAGAAATATTAAATAGGATTAGAGCCAGGCATTGGTTATGTGCGAATTATTAATAGAACTCACATTCTTTTAATACAATTTTATTATTTGGAATAACTCCAAACTTACGCAAATTTTCTCAGCAAAAATAGCACAAGAAAGAATTTTCTGATAGAAAAACAATTAGCTGTTTAATAATTTTATTTTTAAAATTATCCAGTTTATGAATATTATTTTTATTAGAACTAACAATAATATTTATTATTTCATCCATTTACATTAATAATATTCAGATTCTGAATAGTTACGAGTTAAAATGATATGCTACAATCTATGTTTAATAATCCTATTTGTCTTCTTATTATTGATTTATTTCAATTAAATAATCAATAATAACTCTTAGAGTAATATAAATTATGATAATAAATTAGATTTAATTTAAATATTTCTTATACTTTCATTAAAATAGGCAGTTTTTCTATTTAAATATAAAATAATTAAAGAATATTAGGAGATTATCAAGTGAACTTTCAAAACATAATTGGAATTCTTTAAGATATATAAAAAGAACTTAAAAAGGTACTTTTATTGTTGATAACTTTTCTTATTATTCCAGAGTCTTTTAGTAAAATATAATTTAAGCAACTATTTTATATTGAGAATATTAACTAATGATTTAAAATCGATAATTGGGCTATGGATGGATGTTTATTAATTTTTAAGGAAGGACAAAATTACTTAATCTAAAATTAATAAATAAGTTTTCATTGTAAAACTAAGTCTAATGAATTTGAGTATTATTCAAATAAAACTAACTTACGAAAATTGTTATAATTACTTAAATCATGTTTGGAATATCTAGATGAGGTTTTAATAACTTAATTTATTAAATTTAATAAATGAATTTTAATGATTAAATCAGATATCTATATATTCAAATTTAAGAATTGTCATTTCTTATATGCAATTTTAAAATACTTGAACTAATTCAATACTCCCAGTTGTGATAATTATCTTTAATTTTTATTATTCATAGTTAGGGGATGTAAATGCTAGATAGAAAGTCATGAAATTGAAGATTTTTTCATATTTATATTTAATAACGTGGGATTATAAATGATTGTAGTTCTCCTATGAATGAATTGAGCTTTAAATAAATTTCCTTTCAAAGCTTTTCATAGCTACTTCTAATTACATATAGGAAAGCGTTTTATTTAAAATTAAATTGTATATTCCTTCATTAATATATTGGAGATTTAGATCAATAAAAACAATTTTCTTTTCTGGTAAATCATTGATATTGATAGCTGAGATCAATTTCATTTTAGTTTTTATCAAAGCGCAACTAAAGTAAATATTTTAATAAGAAAACAAAAGTTAAGAATGATAACTTCCAGTATATTATCCAATCCCTAAAATTTGATAAATTTTATACATTTTCCAAACTCATAAGAAATAATATCAGCACTATTATTATATGTTAGGTTTAATCTGAAGTTATCAGAGTTTTGAAAATTAACACCTTAAAGGTTAAAAATAAACCATTAACTGCATATTTACTAAATTGTTTAACTTATAAAATTCTGAGGAGCATATTATAATCCTAGATTGATTATCTCATATTATGATATGACAACTTAATAACCTATTTTTAGTAAATTAGGGAATTTTCCAGCTACTTGGTTAATCTCAACCGAAATAGATGAGCTTGTCAGCTTACTTACCTGAGAATGTTATTATATAAATGACTTACTTAAAGTAGAAAATCAATTTATCCATTGTATAAGAAACCTGTTAAACTCACAAATCCATATTTCGGATTACTCATTGAATGTGGAAAAGTATTGTTGACAATGCCTCCGGAACTGATATAATTTATTACTTGGAGACCTCCTCCACAAATAGCATACCATTTAAATCTTATAGCATATACACTTTAATATGGACATGAAATCGTAATATTAAAATCTAATTAATCTAAATACTTACATGTAAGCTGAACATCTGTAATCTCTAAAATAAAGCCTGAGTTATTAATATTTGTATCAATTTCTTCAAGGGAAATGATTATTTTAGGAATTTCAGGAAATGTATCTGAGAAGACGATTTAACTTGTTTGTGAGGTTCCTGCACAAGAAAAAATAGGATAATTGTCAAACCCTTTAAAAACCCTAGTATCGTACACTATTATGCTAGAGACTAGATTCACTATAATTGGGATGATTTTTATTTAGAAATACATTTAAATGTACAATTATTCATATTATTCATAAATAGACTATGAAATTTCTACAAACTCAAATTAACAAAAACCTAGTTGGCGTCCTAATAACAAATAGACTAAGTATTTGAATATAGAGAAACATCAATACAAAGAAAGTTAAAGATAAAATGAGTGAATTATTTCATATTTCCTCTTCGTCTACAATTTCTTGTTTTAATTTAGTAAGTTCATAGCCTTCATCGGCTTTTGATTGTTCATAAATTTTAGCCTTTTGAGTCAAAATCCAATAGAATACAAGACATATCAATGATGTTGGAAGGAGGATTTGTTTAAAGTAAGATAGTTCAAGTTTTATTTATTCGAATTAATCCTAACAATTAAAATCAGAAAAATAGAACTTCTCCGTATTTTAATCAATTGTCATAAGTTTTTAGGCCAAGAATGGCTATCCTAGTTCAATACGATTTAATTAAGATCTATTGAATCTTGAGATTTGAGTGTCATTTGATAGTTTCAATATGGATGCTTCAGGTTCTATAATGATTTATTCATCATCATCATCAAATATAAATTCAATATCGGGTAATTTTAGAGATTGATTCATCACGAAGAGAGAATGAGATTCTTCAGCAACCTGAAATTTGGAAAAATATGTGATGCTTTATTTATAATTTTCATCAGGCAATAAAATGTATGGATCTCTGCTATCGACATATGTAGCTTTTTCATTTAGATTAACAATTGGTTAGTTTTGTATTTTAGTTTGAGATCTAAATAATATTTAGAGGAGGATTTGATTTGTAATTTCTTTGATATTTGAATGGATTCTTGAATTCCTTTGAAATGAATCCTTTATCATAGCCAAGACAGACATGAAAAATAATGGAAAGAAATGGATTCTACGGAATTTTTAAACTACAAATATAGAATCCATTATTTACATCCTCTCTATTATCCCAACCTAATATTTCCTCTTGATCCATGGAAACGGATAACATCTGTTCTGTTTGTTCTTCTTAGAACACGTTGTTGAAGATGAAATCACTATCCATCAAATTACCATCTCCAATGACAAAATTTTGAGTGTATGAGGAACATTCGATCTCATCTCCAAACGTAGAGGAATTGCATTTGACTTCCTCTCCTTTAAGTTTCATAAAGAACACAGTTAAGAATTCAGATCAAGTGTTAAGGACCCTTATTGATAGGCCAACTGAAAAGCGAAGGTTTTTGGGTTTTATGTCTTGTAATTAGAAATATTATCATAATAATAATTCATAATGCAATTGAAGCAGTTGCCAATGTTGTAGTGACCAGGCCAATCTTGAATATGAAATGAAGCATTTTCTGGTGGACTTGGTCAGAGGTCACATTCTTTTTATGATGTTTCCAATTCTTTAATTACAAATCTATAATTTCAAACCATAATTTTGGTACCCATGCCAATATAATACACACAGTATATCCATGTGGCAATTGAGGGATTTCTTAATAGGAACAGAGTGTTTGGTAGGATTTTTATGGATTTCGTGATGGTCTTAATGTCTTTATAATTTAAAGAGGAGATAATTCGAGAATCTTTGTGGAGCATTCCAACTGTGTTGAAGTCTACTTTCTCTTATTTTCCAGGTTGTATTTCTTTTCGGCTCAAACCATAATGCTTCATATAATTAATGGTTTCCAAGTACACTACGTTGTTGATTACAGTGCCTACACATCCGAAGAATCCAAAGTAATAATAAATAATACATGGAATGATAAAATAAGAAATTTTATACCTACGCTATTATTAATTATTACCATATCATTCTATCTTAGACTCTAATAACTGATCCATATTTTTAAGCATAAGATCTGCTTCAAACAGACACATATGAACCAATTATGGTCTAGGGCAAGAAGTTCCATATCTTTTACCATTTCAATGAAGTTGCTGGATCTTTGGAATTAGCAACATTTCTGTGATGACCATGGATATGCTCTATTGCAAAGTGGATGTATAAGTTTCTTGCCAATGTAACTGTTCCCAAAAGCTTGTCGAGCTAATTATCTTTATGAAAAAATTCATGAGCGATGTTGATGTTGGATGCAGACAAATTGCCACCCAAAAAGATAATACCTAGTTTATTGAATATCTGGATCTCATTGTTTAGAAGGAAATTGATCTCAAAATCAGACTTATCCAATCCTAGATGACGCATACATATAATGAAAGCTTAAATCTCATCTCTGATTGTAGTTTACTAATAATAATCTAATATGAAATTTACTTCTATTCATATTTGCTCGGATTTCGAAGATCTAATGATAAGAATTCATCTACAAATGGAGTTAGAGTGTAGACTATCCAAATAGGTTGCCTAGCTTTGATGGGTCGTTTTAAAGAGGCAATTGAATGCTATGACAAAGCAATTGCCATAGATCCTTCAAATTTAAGTAGTTTAAATTGCAAAGGTTTAATTAATTCATTGATATTAAGGTGATTGCCTATTTGAAATGGGTAAATTTGAGGAGGTGAATGAATGTATGGACAAAGTTTTGGCCATCGATCCTAAAATATTAGTTCCCTAACTAAAAAAGGTTTATTTAATTCAATTATCTAAAGCCAAATGCCTGTTATAATAAATCACAGATATTTTTAACTAGTTCAAAATCATCAATCTAAAGTGGCACCTGAATACTTTGAGAAAATCTTGACCATCAATCCACTAGATTTTGTTGCTTTAACTGCCAAATAGATGTTAAGTCTATTTAATTGAGTTTTATGTATTGAAAATATTTTTTTCATAATCATCATAATCATTGATTAAAATTGATTTATATATTTTATATTAAATATTCCGAGAAGCTCTTAATATAACACCATTTAAACCACTTTAAATTATTGTGCAATTACTCATTATTCTATTTTTTCATCGTCTACCAATTTGTTCTAATTAATAATATTGCAAATCTAGAAATTAGAATCGGTGTACATAAAAGATAGAACTAATTGTTTTATTACTAATTGATGAGAATCTGCTCACCATGATTATATAAAATATTTAATAGTGAAGCACTTAAAGAAACAATGTTCATTTATTATAATAATTGTTGAGAAACTAATTAGGGCTAACCTTTTGAACTAGCAAGTTTGAATGAATTCCTTAATTTCCATTATTAAACTTTTAAATAATATATGAGCATATGATTAATGGAAGGAGAAAGGATGATTAAAGATGAGAATAAGAAAATAATATAGATTGTCTTATTTATTGGCAGTGATCTATTTGAGCTACATCTCTAATTAGTTGACTCCAGTATGAGTCAAATATTCCTCATATATGCTAAAGGGTAAAGATGTCAATGACTTTTGATAGTATAACCTCCTAATCTCAGTAAAATAAATGATTTTGATTTATCATTTAATTATTATAAAAATTTAAAAAATTATTAGATTTGCTTTGAAAGATTCAAGTACTTTGGATTATGGTCAACAATTAGAGGAAACATAAAAAGCCATATGCAAATCACAAAGAGAATTGTGCTGTAGAAAGCCGAACAGCTCAGGATGATATTTTGAAAGATCATCCCCTTTAGAGTTTTGACTAGACTATTCTCATTATATGTGCTGCCCCATATTAGGTATATGAACATGGCAATATGGAAACAGAAGTTATACAATATAATATAATGGCAGATAATTAAAAGGAATTCCTTTTGAAGAATGTTTGGACTGAACAAGAGCTTCCCCAAGACCTAATAGATTAAATTGCTGGAAGACTGGAGTTTGATGTTAGGGGAGAACAAGTATATCAGAAACCAATTGAAGACGTCCTTATTCATGAAACATTCATATGAATTTTATTCAGAGGGCCTTACATAGTTGCAAATTGCCACCTCTGGAAAACAAGTAGATCAATGATATGGTTGAGGCGATCCTATAGAAGACTAGAACTTCTTCGAAGAATAATTGAACCTCATTCCTGAGACCTCTCTACTTTATCAGGAAGACTTAAAAAGCCTGGAAAAGGACTTTAAGTAAGATGGAGGAGATGTTGAAAAATATTAGTGATAAACTTAAGGAAACAAAGGAGAGCCGAATCTACCCACAGATCATCCGGAGAATTCCAAGATACGATTTCTTCGAGCCTTTTAAACATGGTTGGATGAAATACTAGACTCATGGTAAGAACATGACGCTTAACCATCTGATGTATCATCGTTTTGAAGAAACGGGCAACTGGCTGGAGAAAATGGAAGAAATTTTAGACTACAGTTAAAACGTAGAAGCTAAGTATTATTGCTCAGAGCAAAAATCCATGAGGGAATCTATGCAGAAGATCACGATCCGAGTTAGGAAATTAGTTAATTTCAAAAGCGAACCATATCAAAAGAAGGATCAAAAAAGAAAAACTTATGAAAACATTATTCACATCATCATTATTATTATCATTATATCCACAAAGAGAGTTTTGGAAATCAACCTTATCAAGCTTTCAGGATGATGATGAAGTCAAAAAATTGGTTTTCCTTGAAATATGTCAATCCCATTCAGTTGAATAAACATCAAAACCTCATAGTTCTAAAGAAATGTTTATGAAATTTAACATTGAATCATCAGGTCCAATATCTTTACCTGAATTAATCTGACATATCCTTACCAATTCGATTCTTTTACTTTAATATTGATATCATCTAGAAATCAATAAATTTTATAGAAAAATATATCAATCAGTGAAGCTTTTATAATATATTTATCGCTGAGCTGTAATGCGATACACATAACATTAAAACAATTACCAATCAATCACATTAAATTACTAATTACATTAACTTGAGTGTGTCTTGAAATGAATTTAGATTCACATATTATATTAGAAGATTCTGAAGCAAATTTAGATTATCGTTATCTTATAATTTGTAATTTCAATTATTAATTAATTAAATATATTAGACAAATGCATAGTCAATAATATGGTTCTTCCACAACTTCATGCAAAATTTATTCAATAAGACAATTGACAAACAACTTGCAACAGCATTTAAATTTAAATCATCTGATTAAGGGTGGTTAAATNGAACAGGAGCCTCCCCAAAACCTAATAGATTATATTGTGGAAGGTTTGGAGTTTGATTTTAGGGAAAAACAAGTATATCAGAAACCAATTGAAGACGTCCTTATTCGTGAAACGTTGATTTGAATTTTATTCAGAGGACATCTGGAAAACAAGTAAATCAATGATATGGTTGAGGCGATCCTAGAAGACTAGAACTTCTTAGAAGAATAATTGAACCTCATTCTTGAGACCTTTCTACTTTTATCAGGAAGCCCTCAAAAACCTGGAAAAGGACTTTAAGTAAGATGGAGGAGTTGTAGAAAAATATTAATGATAAACTTAAGGAAACATTGCAGAAACGAATCTACCCACAGATCATCCGGAATATTCCAAGATACGAATTCTTCGAGCCTTTTAAACATGGTTGGAGGAAATGCTAGACTCAGGGTAAGAACATGATGCTTAACCATCTTATGTATCATCGTTTTGAAGAAGCGGGCAACTGGCTGGAGAAAATGGAAGAAATTTTAGACTACAGTTAAAACGTAGAATTTAAGTACTATTGCTCAGAGCAGAAATCCACGAGGGAATCTATGTAGAAGATTGCGATCCGAGTTAGGAAATTAGTTAATTCCGAAAGCGAACCATATCAAAAGAAGGATCAAAATAGAAAAACCTATGAACACATTATTTACATCATCATTCTTATTATCATTATATCCACAAAGAGAGTTTGGGAAATCAACCTTATCAAGGTTTCAGGATGATGAAGAAGTCAAAAAATTGGTTTTCCTTGAAATATGTCAATTTCATTCAGTTTAATAAAAATCAAAACTCTATGGTTCTAAAGAAATGTTTATGAAATTTAACACTGGATCATCTGGTCCAATCTCTTTATCTGAATTAAAATGATATTATCCTTACCAATTCGATTCTTTTACGTTAATATTGACATTATCTATAAATCAGTTAATTTTATAGAAGTATAACAATCAGTGAAAATATTTTCAGTATTGAAGCTTTTATAATTATTTACCACTGAGCTGTAATGCGATACACATAACATTAAAACAATTACCAATTACCAATCAATCCCATTAAATTACTAATTACATTAACTTGAGTGTGTCTTGAAATGAATTTAAATTCGCATATTATATCAGAAGATTCTAAGCAAATTTAGATTATCGTTATCTTATAATTTGTAATTTCAATTATTAATTAATTAAATATATTAGACAAATGCATAGTCTTTAACAAGGTTATTCCATAATTTTAAGCAAAATTTATTCAATAAGACAATTGACAAACAACTCACAACAGCGTTTAAATTTAAATCATCTGATTAAAGGTGGTCAAATTTTATAGACTATAATTAATATTAGAGATTTCAATTTTGTTTCTACTTAAGAATGATTAAAACTTCATTCTATTAACTTTAATTTGTAAAATGGAAAGAGGATTGAGGTGTTAATCTTTCATGATTCTACCATTTATAATGCTTAAAGTATAATTCTATTTTTAATCTTGTAGACTTTTCAAAAATAATGAAAAAGATATAAAATAAAAAAATAAAAAGCTACCTTTTGAAGGCATTTATACAAGAATAATGTAGAAGTATGGTCTAGATTAAGAACAAAAGAAACATTTATATATTTTGTAACATATAAAGGAATGGATATATTCATTTGAGTAAAAATACTAGTCTTAATTGCGGGATAAAAGTAGGCTTGAGAAAGATAAACTAAATTTTACCTCAACTAGGATGGTTTTGAACTCAAATTACTTTTAAAAATAACTATGATTATTCTAATCAAGAATTTTGTGCATTTGAGTTCCTAGGAATTTAACATTCAAAATCTTGATATATATTCACTTACTTTTGTTAATTGTTCAGAATAAAATTTAGTAATGTATTTACTTTTAACAATTATCTACAGATGAAGGATGAGATGTATTTTTTATTATAACTATTGACTTGATTTGTATTGCTTCCCCTTTTATCTAAAACGTAATCTTACAAGTCGGTTATTCTTATTTTCCAGATCTAAAAGCTTTTATGTAAGAATAATGTTATATTTATTATTTTAAGCATTATTGATTCTGAGAAGTCAGCAATGGAAATTTGTTTAGAATCATCACTAAACCTTTTAGGAATTTTAGGTCAATCAAAAATAGTGTACATCATAATAATATTCTTCTAATATTTTTACATGAAGAAGGTTGTTTAATAGCAATTATCATTGAGTCCAAATCAACTACACCTTTAACCCTAATCCAAGAATAATTTTAAACCATTTAATTATAGCATCTTTCTGGCTTCCTAAAAACCGATGCATATAGAAATTCCAACTTTATTATTTGTTAAATCAATTATTTC